GGTTGGTATGGGTGTTTTTCCTATACACAGTGTGACCAATAGTGTTATCAGGATTTCGGATGACTAAAACATCTAGGAAGGATAAAGAATTATTTGTCTCTAACTCCATTGTGAATTGTATTTTAGAGTTTATGGAGTTAAGGTGGTCTAAAAATGCAGTTACTTTGTCAGATGGTAAAATTGTGAAAGTGTCGTCTACGTACCGCTTGTAGAACCTTGGATTTACAGGACCAGTAAGAAGGGCTTTCTCCTCAAAGTCCTCCATGAATATGTCGGCGACTATGGGAGACACAGGTGAGCCCATCGTCACACCATCTACTTGCTTGTAGAACTCCTCCTTCTACAATAGATAGCCAGATGTGAGGCAATGTTCAAGTAGCATTGCATATTCTTGAGGCATGTTATTTTCTTTTAGCTTCCTAGTTACAATTGAGATACAGTCCACAATAGGTAAGCATGTAAATAGTGACTGAACATCAAAACTGACCATAGTTTCATTGTTAGCGAGATATAGGTCTTTTATCTCACTCACAAAATGGTACGAATCCTTTGTGTGTGCTCTGGTATGTCCTCTCAGTGGTGATAGTATTTTTGCTAAGTATTGTGCCAGCTTATAAGTTGGTGAATCGATCTGGCTCACTATGGGACGTAGTCGAGCGTTTGGTTTGTGTATCTTCGGTAACCCATACAACCTCTGTGGTTTGGCACATGATGGTATTAGCGAATTCACGTCGAGATTTAATTTTTCGGAGTATTTCTTTATTAAAGCGCTAGTTGTTTTAAGCGTGTTAGTTGTAGGGTCTGTTTTGACCTTTTTATATGTACTTTCGTCCGATAAAAGTTGTTGTATTTTAAAATTATATTCCGACGCGTCCATTACTACCGTAGCATTTCCTTTATCCGCGCGGAGAATCGTGAGTTCTGGTCTGTTCCGTAAGTTATTTAGTGCTGTAAATTCGTCTTTGGGAAGGTTTAGTTTCGGCACTGAACTACGACGTAACAAGGACGAAATATCTTGACGTATGGCCTCCAAATCTTCCTTACCGATATTATTCTTAAACAGACAATCCATTAACACTGCAGATAATTTCTTCGTACGGCATTTTTCGCGGAGTTAATGCGAAGTTCATTCCCTTCGCTAATACTTTCATTGTCGGTTCGTCCAGTGTATGTTTTGACAAATTATAGACAGTGCGTTGTTTATAGTTTGTGTCTATGGTCAACGGTTGTTTATTGTTCTGGCGTTGACTTGGATGTTTGGCATTTGATTTGATCGTTAATTTTTGGTATTTTTCTATTTGTTTATTTTTGCATTCATTGTATTTCGATGTTTCTCGTTTGTTTAAAGTTTCGATGCAATAATTAAAATCAAATGTCGTTAAAATTGTCTTTAGTTCACTGGACAAATTGTCTATGGTGTTGTTTATGAAATGTAAATCGAACCGTTTCTGCTGAATCACCGTCCGTAACAACTGTTTACTTGCCTGATTTAAGATCTTAGCGCTTCCTCGAATGTCCTTCTTTGTTGATATTTTGACACACGTAGGAATGAGATTATGGTCTCTGCATCTCTTCAAGAAATTTAAAGATGTTATATATCTTGCGCGCTTGTTTTTAAGATCTCCTAATAGGCGAATTTTATTTGCTATTACCAGTCCGTACTGGTTCACATAATGATTTCTTAAATTTACGCGAACACTACACATTGAATAAAACTATTATTTACGGATTTTATCGCGTTTAATTACTTTAATTTATTTTTATGATTATCATGACGTGACCATGGGTGCTGTAAAGCACCCGAAACGTCGGGATAATCATAAAAATAAATTAAAGTAATTAAACGCGATAAAATCCGTAAGTAATTGTTTTATTCAATGAATTAAAAATATGTTATTTTTTACGTGATGATTAATATTAAGTATAAAAAAAAAGTCCTTATTTACCTAGTTCGGCCGTAAGTTCTGTTACAAATAAAAATGCATTTTTAATGCAATAATGTAATATTATACTAAAACTTATATGTACATATTTATTAAAGTCTCAGCAAAAAACAAAAACAATATTCTATTACGGTCACTTTTGGCTTTTATACAGGCTTCTAATCTGTCTGGCCACGTATCTATGGATTTACGCACTGTTTCCATAAGAAATTTCGCCACTGGTTGCTCCAGAGATTTTTCAAGAGACTCAATGTCGCCGTGTCGTTTAGAACAAACCACGTCCTCTAAAACTGACCATAATTTGTAGTCTAAAGGGTTGAGTTCTGGGCTGGATGAGGGCCAGTCTTCAGTTCTTATAAGTTAGTATTAGTATTAGTCCGAAACGTTGGTTTCAAGCCAGGCTTGGGTAGTTCGTGCCTTGTGACCAGGTGCAGAGTCCTGCTGGAAAGTCCACGGTATATTTTTAAAAAGTGTATTGCTGAGAGGTTTCACAACACGATTCAAGACTGTCTCTTGATACACTTTGGCTGAATTTTTCTCTCCGTTTTCACAAAAATATAGCTTTGTGACGCCTTGATAAGACACGCCCCACCAAACCATCACTGACGCAGGATGATAACCACGTTGTACCTTTCCGCTTTCCGCTGTTGAGACGCTTCTTTAGAACTATGAGCGTACACTTTATCATTTTGCTTATTGTAGTGCTCTTCAATCGTGAATTTTTTTTCATCGGTAATAAAAATCCAACCGTAATAAATTCAACGCGGACGAAGTCGAGGGGAACAGCTAACATTGCTATATTTCGTTTGGTAACGGATAAAATTGGAAACCCTTTTTAAAGTAACGTGTCAATGCATGTTAACCCTTAGTATAATAACATGCATCTGCATTTTATTTCTGAACCGAATACAGATGTAGGTCTCTTTGAGCCAAAGAATTCATTTACCATCCTGTACCTAGATTGAGTGCTCGTTTGTCAACTTTATTTATTTAAAACTAGCTTCTGCCCGCGACTTCGTACGCGGATCCTGTTGCTTATGCCAGCGACAACGGGGTCGTCAAAATCAAATTCAAAGAGCCCGGGGACGGGAAAACAACGTGATGCGCCAAACAGTTCGAGGCGTTCCAGATCTTTCATTTTTGTAAGTCAACAGGAAATGCCCATCAGACTAAACAACTTTTGCTTAGACGTCATTCCTATATATGTTATAATGTCGCTGGGCTTTAGAGTTATACAACAGGTGTTCCAGGTCTTCAAATTTATTCTCACAGCAGAAAATACTCTTCTCGTAGAATATTTTTTGCTATGGCACCATTTTTATATCTCTTATACTTTAGCTGGTCTGTTGCGGTTCTGCATCAGGTGTTCCATTTTCCAAAATAAATTATAGCCTATATGTTGCCTAGACTTAACACCTATACAACAAAAAACTTTTCATCCCGTATGTTTCACCGATCCAGTGCGGAACGCACTACAAAAAATACTTTATAAACTATAGCTGTACACGTGGCTTTGCCCACGCATCGCATAACTATTTTTTATTCTATTTTTATTTTAATAATAGTTAGTGATAGTTTGTAGATTTACAGAAACACTCAAAAGACACATCCCATACTTATACTAAAGCTTAGATACCTACTTCAAAAACTATTTAGCTTAGTAAACTCAAATTTGAAAGTTATGTAGTTAATTTACTGGTAAAAGACGTCAGGTTAATAAGGAAATTTTGGTGACGTCGAATAACAGAAGTGTTGTAATTTACTGTAACACTTCTGTGTAAATAACGTTCGTTGTTTTTCCCTCGGTCTCATTCATATGTACAGCGAGTCAGGACTGGTGACGCGGGAGCAAGCCACGTACAGTTGTCCGTGTGAAAAGCAGCTCGTCCTGAGGTCGACACCCGCAGCCTTCAGTGTCTGCCCCTGCGACTTATTTATTGTCATGGCGAAGCACACGCTCACAGGAAACTGCACGCGCTTGAATTGAAAGGGGTAATTGTGGGGAATCAGTGGTTTACGTGGTATAAACACTGTTTCGCCGACACCACAACCCGTTAGAATTTTCGCCTCAATGATATTTCTCTGCAGCGAGACGACTTTGAGCCGGGTCCCATTGCACAGTTTTGGCGCAGTGAGATTCCGAAGAAGCATAATTGGGACACCGACCTTTAGCTTAATGGTGTGCGCTGGCAGTTCACTTGCACTGAGGGAATTGAGAAATTCTACGAGGTAATGTGTAGCGTCATCTCGGTCGACCACAGTGTTTATTGAAGTGTAGATCACTTCATTTCCCTCAATTTCGGCGAGAATGCATTCATTGATCGTAGAAGCTTGGTCGTTTTTGGGTGTTAAAATGGCTCGTTCACACACCCAAGAATTATCTTGGTGCAGTATCCTATTGATGTCCCCGTACACCAGGCGAATCAAATCTTCTAAGGAGGACACCACTCTCCCAAGTATCTCAGGTAGAACCACCTGGCCACTGTCTACTGGTAACGTTCCCTCACCCAATTTTAAGAGAACATCAGAAAATTCTTGGGCGTGTACATTCCCGCCAAGCTCATATTCATCGTTAAGCGCAACCTATGAATATGTGGCCATAAGAAAGAGCATTTCAACGAAGCATTTACCTCATCAGCCCTAGTTCCTCGCGTCACCACAGGCAGCGTTTGTCTGAAATCGCCGCTAAACAGAACTGTAACGCCACCCTTCATTTGCTGGTTCCTGCGGATGTCCTGCAAAGTCCTGTTTACCGCCTCTACTGCTTTTCTGTTCGCCATAGTGCATTCATCCCACACGATTAAAGAGCAATCTTTAAGCACGTGCCCTTTGTCACTGTTGCGTGGCACTTCACAAACAGGTGTTTCATTACTCTCTAATCTATGGGAATCTTAAACATTGCGTGCGCTGTTTTGCCACCAGGAAGCAGTGTTGCGGTGATTCCTAACGATGCTACTGCAATGGCAATCTTGCCTTGCCTCCTGACCTCTGCGAGAATGCCAGCGGTGACAAATGTTTTCCCTGTTCCACCAGGAGCATCCAAGAAAAACATTTTACCTTGGCCGAGCCCAACACTTTCAAGGATGGTGTCGAAAATTTGCTTTTGCTCTGAGGTAAACTTACAGACATGGTCATTGACGACGGTACTCATAGCTCTTGGATCATAATTTATTTCAGAGTTGTACTCTCTGTTTCCACGCTCTTGTACATCCAGATGTTGTGGAGACGGTAGCCCATAATCCACCAGAGAACTGCCGCCGATCGAAATGACCATGTCTTGAAGTGAACTAAGGCAACTATTTAGAACGTGCTCATCAGTTGCCTCAGTATTATCTCCAGTAGTGCATCTCGGAGCTCTTAGGAAGTCTTCGGACAGAAGATGCCGATATTTCTCCCACAACAGAAGCGGATTTGCAATACCGCAGAACACCAACATGATGGCAAACAGATGTCGCAAACGACTGGGACTGTCACTAATGTTGGCCTCCTCAAGTGCGTTGTCCCAGTGCTGATCACCGTCGAGAAGGTGGCGTGCTACGCAAGCAGCGCGGTATGTGGGATACTGAATGTCATCGACTGTCCTTAGAAACGCAAATGATGTTGGGCCCCGTACTGTGTGCAGTAACATTCGCAAATAATAGCACTCGCCATTATTGTAAACTTAGTGTAAACCCGTCCCAATGCGGTGTCCTTAAAAATTCCCGGAAACCCGTCCACGGCGTGTCCGCGTCTACGTCGATTAAATTCACCTCCTTGCTTGTCGTACGTGTAGTACGACGGCACCTCATCATAGGTGAGTGATCTAGCAAAGTTGTCCCCTTCACATAGTCTGAAAAAGGCCAACAAAGTGGTTTGGCGCGGATTTTCCAATCTCGCTGCAACGTTATCAGAGTCAAAATAAATGCGCTGGCCATTCTCTAAATGGACATCTAAATGCATGACTGTTGGATGCTTGTCGTGTATGGAGAAGGCCAGTATCCGCCAAACTGCTTCAGAAGTGCTGATGTAGCGACCGGACTGGTACTTGGTCACTTCATCCCTGTCAGTACTCTGTAAAGCGAACGTTGCCTGGTCACTATCTTTGTTGACGTATTTACAGATGTATTTAATCGATTGTACGCTTGTGCACGACTCGACGTTAATGTGGGTACTGAACGTCCTGGAAAGTACAGGTGAGTATGGAACTATCCACCTGTTGTCGATCTCGACAGCCTGGCCACGCATAGTTAACTCGGCATGACTGCCACCCTCAGCAGGAGATCGACGCCGGTATGAAGGGTATCCATCCTCACCTGTAAGTGTTTCGCTGCTAAATCGCTTCGGGAACCTTTTTGAGCACCGTCCGTCCCTCATGCAAGGAGAATTGCGATTTAGGGCTCCGCAAGGACCATGCACCATGTGACCCTTTACAATTTGGTACAGAACGTGGTCAACGTTGGGATCTGGTAGCTCAGCAATTATGACATCATCGATCTCGTTGGGCCTGATTTTATTTTTCAACCACAAAAGCAAATGCACATGGGGCAAGCCGCGTTTTTGCCACTCTACCGAATACATGTGGCATCTGGTAGCACCAAATAGTTTTTCTTTTGTGTGAAGATCCATCAGGCACTTTTAGTTTAAATGAAACACCCGAGAAATCAAGTCGTGCCTGTCATGTGGCACCTGACCTGCTAAGAGCTCGCTGGTTATTTCGGGCCACTTAGGGTTGGTAGTGATGGTGATGAAGAGGTCCGGTCGACCGTACTTGTGCACTTAACAGAATGCGTTCTGTGTCCGCTCGTGCATGTACCGCGGACCTCCCGTAAAGGTGGAAGGGAGTATCACCATCCGTCCAATATTTTCCGCGTTAGAGTCCTCTCGCATGGCGTTCCTTAGGTGCACGTAGTTTTCCGCCCTTAGTTTCCGTTGATTCGTTCTATTGAACACCAACCGCTCCATTTCAATTTTGGCATACTCATCTACCAGAAATTGACTAAAGAGTGCACGGTAATAATGGAGATGAGAGTTGTCATTGGAACGGAGCTGAATCATGGAACTGTAAAACTGGAGGGCGGAAGTCTTTTTGTTATAATTTGGGGCACCTGTCTGCGGGTCTACATTGTATACGGCAAAGTGATAGCCATCCTCTCCGCGACAAAACATTAGGGGATACTGTAGGGTATCATAAGCGCGATGTGTCTCGCTGATACGCTGTAGGCGATCATCACGTGTGCGTAAAACAATGTCTCTTTTGTCGCAATCCTGGTCAACCAAGAGGATGGCTACCTCGTTTAACGTTCGTGCGTTATATCGTCCTGGATGGGCTGCGGTCGGTCATTTGTCTGCGCTAATAACGAATTTAAAATTATCGCGCTCGTGTTCAGGCACCGATTCCAGAGCGGTTTTGAAATCGGTAACGTATGGGTTGACACTATGCAGAGTGTTTTGTAATCCCCTTATAAGGCTCAAGTCTAAATTAGGAATGTGTCGGCATCGGACATTAGCCTGTTCAGCAAAATCTGCAATGAAATATATTTGCAAAAATTTCGGCATTTCGGTGGGAAGCAGGGAACCTATCCGATGGTAGATTTGCCCCTGAATTTTAAAAGTCGGCATGAATCGAGATTCAGTGACTTGATGAGCTCCAAATGAAATCTGGAAAGCACTGTTGTAGGCTCGAATATTGCTTAAGAAATGGCTGGACTTGGGATGCTTGCTATTCAAAAGAACTCGTAAGATCTCCGGTAGCTCTTGCATAGAGTTTAGTCGTACCTTTCCAGACGCACAACACATTCCCTTAGTCTCTCCCTTCCACTTACGCGCGTGACAATGTGCACAAACCTCAGACATGGTGCCAATGTCTCCGTGTTCGATGTAATTAATAAATGGATTATAGGAAAACGCGCTCCTTTCTTTATTGAACCACGGTTGCTCTTCAAGATCATAAACCATAGACTCAATATCAGATGAGGATGAATTGCGAAGATTGCGACGTATACGGTCTAGATCAATTTGGGCCACACGCTGTTCGACTGAGTGACTTGCCCGAATTTCCTGAATCCGCTCACGTTCTTGCGTGGAATGAACAGGCACTTCAACACGCATGTCGTGATATCTTTGCCGAGCAAGTGCGTTGCGTTGCTCGCCTCTCCAAAGACCGAGCTAAAGCATGCTGTGAGCGGTCTGCACTAAGTCGCGTCTCACGTTCTTTTCTCTGATCGAGATGTGGCAGTGCAAATACGTTGGGAGCTTAAACGCGACTCTCTCTGCGTGTAAGTCTCCGAAGCGCGAGATACTGCGTGGCTCTCGCGATCGCTTGCTTGGCGTGTATCGTGCTCCTGACTATTCTTGAGTGACCGAGCAGTCTCAGTGCGGAAAGCTGAAGACTTAACGTCTGCTCTCTCTCTGTTTCCGTTTCGGAAGCGCGAAATAAAGAATGACGCTCTCGGTCACGCGCAAGTCGTATCTCACGCTCCTGACTGCTCTCAAGTAATCGAGCAGTCTCAGAGCGGATATTCTGAAGACTCAACCTCTGATCCATCTGTGTAACCGTTTCGGATGCGCGAGACAAAGAATGACGATCCCGTTCGATAGCTAAACGCATTTCTCCTTGTTCCACACTTTCCTGAGATCGAGAAGCGGTAGTGCGGACTCGTTTAAATTCTAAAGTCCTAGTTTCTGTGGACAAACTTAGTGCATTACGCTCACGGTTAGCACCCAGCCGTTGTTCACGCTCTGCGTCGGTTTCGAAAGATCGAACTAACCTGCGCATCTTAGAAACCCTTGAGTTTCGAGACAGATTTGATCTTTTTCTAAAAGGCATAGCTAAAATTATTAAGAAGGAATTTTTGAAAATTCCTTCGATAAATTAATCCGATAGTCCGATACTAACGATATTCAAAACAATGAAAATGAAAAGTAATCGAATGTACTTAACGTAAGAATTGCTGTTAAGTAGAATAATAATTATTCGCAGGAAAATTAAACACATCAACCAACACAGACAACAAATGTAACTGCCGTTTCGATAGAATGAGAGCGGCCCATCGGCACCTATAACATCACTTTTTGGGGACGAAACCATAGCGCGATCTAACTCAACGCCAACGACATCTAGTTAGAAAACGGAAACTACATATTATTTACCCAAATGAATTAATTAAATCATGAATTAAAACTAAATTGTAGTTAATTTAACAGACAAGTACATTATTTTTGCATTAAAAAAATATAGTAACAGCAGCAAGGAACAAAACTAAGAATTACATACTTAAATCAATTACTTACAACAAATTTGCTTAGTAAGCAAAGACATTTAAATAGGTAGTGGTAACAGACCGGACATCAGTAACAAAATTGTCATCTGTAACTTTTGTCCTATATGATATATCTCCGATTTTTGTCATTTAGTCTAAGTGACATCGTCAAAAGGTCAAGACGCATTCATTTTATAATTTTAAAAATATTTTTAAAGAAAATATGCCTGGTTGTGCATTAAAGTATTGTAAATCACGATATGGAGCAAAAAATGAACGTGATTTCGGTTTATTATCGTAAGAATAATGTGTATTTACCAAATAATCTTTAAATGTTATTATTTCTAGTATATTGTTCGAGAAGAAAGAAAAATCATTATTGTAATAAGTGCCCTCTGTTATCCAGTAACATCACTATTTATTTACAAATACGTTAGTGATTAACGATGTGCCTACATAGGATTTTAACCTTATGTTTAGTAGTGTCACCTACTGGGAAATAGCTAAAATGTTTTCTAAGTAAATATTCAGTGTAGTATTGCTATATTTCGTTAGAGGGTGTAATACATGCGCGTGGTCACAGCATTTTTAATGAAAATATGCCTGGTTGTGCATTAAAGTATTGTAAATCACGATATGGAGCAAAAAATGAACGTGATTTCGGTTTATTATCGTAAGAATAATTTGTATTTACCAAATAATCTTTAAATGATTATTTTGTGTATTCAATTACGAAGAAAAACTTTTTAAAATCAATATTGCTTACCTCTCGTGATAATATGTAGCCTAAAGCCTTCCTTGGTAAACAAAGAACATTTTTGCTTAATTTCAATTCAATCTATCCAGTAGTTTTGGCGTGAAGCCGTACCATACACACAGACAAACAGACAAAAATTGTAAAAAGTCACTTTTTATCATCAGTTACGTTTTTCTAACAAAAGCCACTAATTTTTTCTCGAAAATTCTCAATGTACAGTTTTTCTTTCGTTACTGTTTTATTATATGTATAGATGTCAACATTGTGAAGACAAGCTATTTACAAATAAATTGTTTTTGTTCTGATAAAACGACAAACTTTCATTTAATAATAATAAATTAACAAAAAGCGCTTGCCAAAGTATGTAAGCCTACTAATTTGTCAGACAATTCAGAACAAACGGAAAATTAAATTTATGTAATATCCTTAATTAGCTAAAAT